ATATATATATATATATATATATATATATATAAATAATTAGAGCAAATATTTTTGTTTTTAACTTACCCCGTTACTTATAAGATACAAATGGGTTTGTGTATTTCCTGTTGTGCTCATGTTAGTTTTATCATGTTAGGTGCAAGTATGATTTTATGATTTTCTTTATATAGAGGTTATGTATGGTTTAAGAAATGTGTACAGGTACAAAGTTGACAAGAGGTGGACTGTGATGGTTAATGTTTTCTAGGCTTTGAGTCTCAGTGATTTGGCAGACATTGGACTGATTGTTCTTCCAAAATGTAATATAATGTAATTGTCCTCCAGTTTTATGATTGGATGTGAGCAATCAATTGAAAAGTCATATCAATCAATTGAAAGTCATTCAGTTTCCTTGAGGGTATGACTTACATGCAACATATATGAATGCTCTGGCAAGCTTTCTTCTCTGGATCCTGCATCCTAGTTATCATTCTCTGACCTCTGATTCTTTGGATGTGAGCCAGCAGCCTGCAGTCTTACCTGCAGATTTTGGGACTTCCCAGCCTCCACAACTCTGTAAGTCATGTCCTTGAAATAAATCTCTCTTTTTCTTCCTCTCTGTATCTGTCTCTCTCTCTTTCTCTCTCTATATACACACACTTTACTGGTTTTGCTTCTCTAGAGAATTTTGCCTAAGGAAATGCCTCTTAAGGTTATTGGGCATATTAAATGAGAAGGAAATGAAATCACTTGATATATAGTGGGAACTCAAATCTTAGGAATAATTGAATTAGAACACTCTGGTTGTTTTGGTTCCTTTGTGCTGCTCTAACAGGAAACATCACAAAAGGGTGGCTGACGTAGTGCCTATGGTGTTTGACTGCTGACCAGAAGGTTGGCGGTTCCAACCCACCAGCCACTCCTCAGAAGGAAGATTGGGCAATCTACTTCTGTAGTGATAGTGCCTAGGAAACACAAGGAGGGGTCCCTATGAGTTGGAACCAACTCAATGGAAGTGAGGTTTTTTTTTTTTTGGTTTAACAAACAGGAGTTTATTCTCTTACAGTTTGGGAGGCTAGAAGTCTGAGTTCAAAGTGCCAGGTTCTATGGGCTGGGTGAAAGCCCTTTGACTTTGGGCTTCAGCTCTGCCTCTTGCAGAGTACTGTGCTCCTCTGTTCGCTAGTTGACACACTTATACACTCACCAACTGTCTCCTTTCCCATTGTCAGCCTACTATATGTCCTTGCTGTCCTTGGCAAATGGAGCCTCTTTTTAGGTCCCTGGAATCTGAATGAGAATGCTGTCACTTTAAAATCCAATATGATTGCCACTTGAAAACATTCAAAATGGCTGTGCCCTTGGTCACTTTAACTATCCAAAATGGCCACCTCTTGTAAATATTCAAAATGTTGTCCATGCAGCCCTTGGCAACCAGGGCTGATCTTTAGGTCAATTTTCAGGTTCCAATACCACTTGGAAATACTCAGGCTGTTGGTCGCATCAGAGTAGCTGACAGTCTGCTACTCCAACCATCTCCATACTCACTGTTTTCATTCAGGTTTTTCTATTACTTGGTGCTGAATCCAATTCTGTATTCTTCCTTTCAAAGCTCAGGGATCCAGGATTATCTTTTGTATCACTGTCAATTGGTTTCTCTTTTATTTGTTGAAGAGGCTCTGTGTAACTTGTCTGCCTATTCCACCATCTTACTGGAATAAGCCATGGTATTTTCAATAACCTCATATGCATGTGAAAGCTGGACAGTAAATAAAGAAGACTAAAGAAGAATTGATGCATTTTAATTATGGTGTTGGCAAAGAATGTTGAAAATACCATGGACTGCCAGAAAACTCCTAAATCTGTCTTGGAAGAAGTATAGCCAGAATGCTCTTTAGAGGTGAGACTGGCCAGACTTTGTCTCATATACTTTGGTTGTGTTGTCAGAAGGGACCAGTCCTTGGAGAAGGACATCACCCTTGGTAAAGTGGAGGGTCAGAGAAAAAAGTGAAGGCCCTCAACAAGATGTATTGACACAGTGGCTTCAATGATAGTCTTAAGCATTACAACAACTGTGAGGATAACACAGGACTGGGCAATGTTTCATTCTGTTGTACATAGGATCTCTGTGAATCAGAACACATGCAATGATCCATAACAATAACAACAAGAAATCTAAGAAAAGGATAAGTGAAGGATGAAGGGAAATGGTAAACATAGGTAGGAAGTAGGAAGAATGGTGTTACATTGTAGGGATTCCAATGAATTGTTGCATGGAAAACAAATTTGCTGTGTAAATTTTCATCTAAATATATTAAAAAAGAAAAACAAGGACAGATGTGTTTTGAGATACTTCTGGAAGAGGTTCAGAATCTCTGGAAGAGATTCTACCTTTGTATTTGGTTTAGTGGATCAGCTAATACAGCAGTATCTCTATTCAGAGATGCACTAAGAATCTGGGATTAACTGATCATTATTAAAGTTTGGGGTGAGAGGAAGGAAGAGGAAGCCAACATTTTCTAGTGTTAGTATGTGCTGGACACCATATATATTAACGTTTTTAATCTTTACCATGCCCTGGTGGTATTTCCCCATTTAAGAGATGATGAAACTGAGGTCCTTAGAGGTTACTGTCATTTGCAGACGTCATATTACTCTGAGAAAATCTGCTGGTTACAGGTATGAAGTGGCAGAGCCACAATTCAGTGTGACTTTCTCTGACTACAAAGCTTTGGCATGTTTTCACTTTCACTGGAGAGTCAACCTAAAGAGGATAATGGTTTTCCAGTGCAAATTTCCTTTGGCTTAAGTGATTTTTCTTCCAACCTTGAACTTTGCTAATCTTGAATAACATACCTGCTTTTTTGTAGGGCAGAACTTTGGAGTTACCCTTTCAGGAGACGTTGTAGGTCCTGAAACTTGTCTGATGGCAGAACATGGAGCTCTTTGTAGGACATCATACTATTTAATGAATGTTACAAAATACTAGTATTTTTCATTATGTAAGTGGGGAATAATTGTCCTGGCCTAAGGTATTTACCATTTGTATAAAATATAAAATCACATGCCCATAATACAAAAACAGTGAGTGCTTAGATTAACAATGATTGATTGTTTACAAACTTTTAATCATTTATTTGGTCTATTTGCAAGTTATAATAGATGCCAAAGCATTAAGTAGAAAACTATGTACATAAACCTTTTACCTCAGTTTGAGAATAGATGAAAGGTTTTGAGAGTTTTGAGAATTGATTCCTACTCAAACCAGAGTTTGAGAACCAAATCGGCACAGAAGAAAAGAGGATGCAACAAGATTCAGCCTGAATTTTGTTATTGCTAGTGATTTGGCACTTGAAGTCTGGAAGATTAGACCTCTATTTATACATCATTCTCTAAGTGCAAATGGCATGTTCCTACTTGGTTTGGATTCTTGTGCAGGGGTCCTGATGGATCAGATGATACCTGATGACTTGACCTTCAGGAGCATGTTCAGGCAATTTATTCTTGATCAGTTATTTTCTTATTAATTACCTCTCTGTTTGATTCCTTTTGAGCCCTACTGATGAAAGAAGACTTTATGCTTTTACACATTAATAAATTCCATGCTTTTGCTCCTTCAAGAGTGCTTAAGTTCTAATCATGATCATTACAAAGCCTCTTATATTGCTTTCCCCCCTCCCACCCCACTCAAATCAGGCAGTTTAGACATTGTTAGTTTCTAGAATTGTAATCTTTTAAATAGCATTTTAGTTGTTCCTTTTCTAAACTAGAAAAATAGCCATTAGGATTCTCTGGTGTGCTGAGTTAAAAAATTCACTTGTAGTTTTTGAACTATGATGTAGTGGTAAATAATATGTACAAAATGCAAAACAGAAAAAAAAAAAACTTTATTTCTTTCCACTCTTTTGTATAGTTAAAGCAAAATAGGAGTTGGTTTTTCTAATTTTCAAATTCTATCAAATCTATGGATCCTTATAATCATAACATTTGTGCTAAGTGTCTTAACAGGTGGGTGACCAGGTGGACTAATGAGCTACTTAGTGATCTCACAGATTCCTCTCTAGTTTTCCTAGTTGCACACAGCCCCTTCCTAGGGGCTTATTTCTGTTGCAGGTAATAGGCCTCATTGAGTATGTTTCACTTCTGAGTGCTGCCTAATTTGTTAGGAGAATAGTAGTTACCTTTCTTTGGGCTCTGTATTTAGGCCTTTACATGTATTATATCATTTGATCCTCATAGCAACACTGTGAGATAGGAACTATTACCCTCATTTTATAGATGAGGAAACTGAGACCCAGAGAAATTAAATAACTTTAAACCTAGACCATGTTGAGTCCATGACCTGTGCTCTTGATCACCACGTCTTATGGCCTTGTCAAGAAGTGATTTCTTAGGGCTTAAGAAAAAGGCATGCGTAAAGGGTGGAAAAAACGAAAAACAAGAAAACAACTTCTTGATACAGAGTTGATTCTTACTCATGGTGACCCCAATGTGTGACAGAGTAGAACTGCTCCATGGAGTTTTTCAGCTGTAATCTTTATGGAAACAGGATTGCCAGGCCTGTTTTCTATGGTACCACTGGGAGAGTTCAAACCACCAACCTTTAGGTTAGCAGTCTAGTGCAAACTGTACCACCCAAGAACCTGAGAAGGATTTAGATAGGGTAAAAATGATGGTTTCCTCATTTTATTAGATATCAGGAAATATACTTGGGACTTGAAATACTGATAGTATTTAACTCAAATAAGACCTTGTATAATGTTTAATCTCACATCTGATAAGCATAGCTTAAGTATTTTAAATTTTGTCTGTCAACAGTTTAAATGGATATCTCTTGTTTTTGAACAGTGGGCCACATTACGAATTGAAAAAGGAGTCCCAAAGGAGTCAGCTCTTAAAAACTCAGCTTCTGTTGGTAAGCCTTCCTTTTCATTATAATTGTTAAAATATTCAAATCAGATACAATTGCATATAACAATTTTAAGCTCAAAATATGCAGAAAACAATGCATTATATAGACTTTGGTTTATTCATAATTTTTCCCTTCATGCAAAATAGCAATTACCTGAGTTTTATTGATTTTTTCTTGTTAAGGTTATAATATATGCTAATTCATCTATGTATTTTTAGAGGTATTATTTTCCTTATGAGAGCATAAATTTAAAGATGACTGTCCATGGTTTTAAAGATGTGGTTAAGGATTAAAAAATAAATAAATAAAGCTTATTGGAACACATGGGACTTGAAACTTATTATTGAGGTTTCATTAGCAACTTATTCTAACTTGTGGTTTTCAAATTATGTTTGTCAAAAAACTTGCTGAATGCTGATTGGTAATAGATGAAATGAAAAATAAGTCCCCAGTAAAATAAGCTTTGGAATCACTACACACTATACCTTCCTTTTGGAGAGTCTTATTACATAGTAATAAAACCAAAAAAAAAACAAACTCACTGCCGTCGAGTCAGATCTGACTCATAGTGACTCCTCCTTGGGTTTTCCAAGGTGGTATCATTACAGAAGTAGATCACCCAGTCTTCCTTCTGAGAAGTGGCTGGTGTGTTTGAACCATCAGCCTTCTGGCTAGCTGTCAAATGCCTTAGGCATTATGCCACCAGAGTTCCTATAGTAATAAAGGCTGTGAAAATGCTACAATAAAGAAATTTGCTTAATTTTATTTAACTTGTTATTTGTTTTGGTTACCTAGTGCCACTCTGACAGGAATATACCTCCAATAGGTGGCTGGAACAAATAGGAGTTTATTTTCTTATAGTTTTGGAGGCTAGAAATCTGAGTTCAAAGTGCCAGGCCCTAAGGGCTGGGTGAAAGCCCCTCAACCTTGGGCTTCACCTCTGCCTCCTGCTTCTGGCTCACTGAAGCTTCACTTGGGTGGCTGCTGGCTGTTGAGGCTGACAAACCCAAGGTCAACAAGTTCCAGTATTACCAAACAACATGGCAGGCCACTAATTCAAGTACAGAAAAAGTGCAGAGATCAGCAGGGTATGAAAGGCTGCTAAACAACTTCGCTACATGCAGAGGTCAAACGTGCCAAAAACTACAGACCATTCCTAAAGTGAGCAGACCATATCCCTAAAGCAACTACTCAGCTGCTCACGGTATATTCTACCATGGAGTTGATTGCCAGTCTCATCGTGGGGAATAACTATGTTTATAGATGCCCAGCCACACAAAACCAGGCCCAGACAAGTACACACATATCCTGACCTACCATATCATTAATAAATAAAATTAAACCTATTTGTCCATGGTGCCCTTTACCCCATATGACACCAGTTAGCTTCTGGCAGAAGTGAGCTAACAAATCAACTGATCCAATTAATCCCTGCCTCTATTTATGTCTAAATAAAATTTTCTACTTGGAATAAGAATTTTAAGAAATTTTTAAAACACTGGATTCACTGCTAATGAGTCAGGTCTGACTCATAACAATTCCTCCCTCCTTGGGTTTCCGAGGTGATATCACTTTGGAAGTAGAGTGCCCAACCTTCCTTCCGGGGAGTGACTGGTGGGTTTGAACCACCAGCCTTCTGGTTAGCAGTCAGATGCCTTATGCACTACACCACCAGAGCTCCCATAGGGAAATAGAATTCTGTGGGAACAATAGCTATGTAATAAGGAAGAAGTAGATTTAATTTTTAGACCTTTCAAAGACTAAGCCTATATGTTTCTTAAAAATCCTGTAGAAAAAATTTTGTGCCCATTTTATTTAGGATAAAAGGGCCAAAATGTCAAATATTTCACTAGAAAGAATTTATCTTTCAGTAACTTGTCTAAAAGGAATTACAAAAATTGTATATTATGTTGAGTTTTGGAACTAGCAAAGCTAAAGATAATGTTAAGTGAAAGTGATATTTACTCAAGTATTGAGTGGACACATTTGAACATTTTTGTGTAAATGCATTGTTATATGCAAGTGATGATATAAGTTGTAGTTTCATGCTGTAAAATTAAATAAAGTATTATCACAAACATCATTTTTACCAAGATTGAATTTTGCTGGCTGTACTTGATCCTCTTTTTATGTCAAATACTTTCTCTCAGATATAGCAGATTTAATTTTTTATTTTCTACATTCATTTTTAAAAGTATATGTGTTCTTTGCTGGTTTTCTGCTATACTTGGTGAAATGTTGAGCTGTCAGCAGTGATCTTGGTGAAATTTTATGAGACCCTATAGATTAGAGTGGTGGTGGTATGTGTCTTGGCCCATGAATTAAAAAAGACACAGGGTGTTTCAATTTGGTAGGTTGTTGTTGTTGTTGTTGTTAAGTGCCGTCGAGTCGTTTCCGACTCATAGCGACCCCATGCACAGCAGAACGAAATACTGCC